AAAACAAAAAAAANAAAAAAAAAAAAAAAAAAACTCTAGCTCCTCACTCACTCACAAATCGGCTCATCATAGGTCCGAGTCGTTCTTAGACCTCAACAATCTCTTGGTTTTGGTTCCCGCAACAGCCGGTCGACCGCCTCGGGCGCTAAACGTTATTCGAGCCGGCGACGGATGATACGTACGTAAGTCAGCGGTCCCGTGCCGAACCGGTCGGGTACCCCCCCATCTCGCTGGTCGAGAACCCCTGCCATCGACGACGACGTCACTTGCACGACACGGTTCCCCGGGGTAACCCACGATGAGGTAAACAACCACCACCACAATAAACGATGACGACGACGACGACGACGACGGCAGGCACGGATACAGCCCCCAACCACAGCTGCAACGCAAGAATCAAACCTCTGCTGAATTCTAACAAACCCCTTGATTCGGTTCTGTCAAGCAAGCCAGCTGGCACTTTGGGGCTGGATTCACTTAGTGTTACTCTTGTGACTACTACTACTACTACTACTACTACTACTACTACTGCTAATACTACCAACACTGCTAATACTACCACTACTATCACTACCACTAGCCTTCAAATTCAGAACATCCCACTTACAGCCATTCTAATCAGATTATGAATCTTGAAGGCTATCCTTTCTTCCTCTTCTCCTTCTCCTTCTCCTCCTCCTCCTCCTCCTCCTCTTTCTGCTCCAGAAAATCCAATATTCGCTTTTTTTTTTGGCCTCAAAAAGATGACCGGCCATATGAAGCGAAGAAAATCCCTTTGCGTGATGCATTCCACGATATTTCCTGCTCCATACTTGAAAAGGCGTGAAAGGAAATATATATTAAAAGAAGAGGATGAGATCTTCGTGGTTGACCATCATAGCTTTATCTGTTAGCGAAATGGAGGATACGTAAATCTTGAGATAGGAATAACCTCATGGCCCTCTTGCTGTCGTTGTCAAGCGTCCCGAGTGATAAATACCCCTTTCTTTAAGCGAGCTTGGCTCTTGCCACACCTTGGTAGTCATGGGACCTCGGAACAGTGACGCAGTATTCAATTAACGACGAGCCGAATACCAAGAATCCAGAGACAGGTACAAAAAAGAAGACGAATACCTCTGACCTCGTGGTGCGGCAACGAATTGATCACTAGCGAGGGAGCAATCGTGAGAAACAATATTATTAGTGCGAAATAAACGCAAGCACGAAGTAAAGGAATCCCAATACCAGTGCCAATGCACGCTTTGCAAGTTTTGTAATGTACAAGCAGCCTGGAGAAGCCGGGCCTGTTCGTCAACTTGTGAAAGAAATCCCATCCTTCATTAAACCCCCCACCATTCACACTCCTCCCTAAGAGCAATTCAGCGCATCATACGACTGTTTTGTTGATCACCGTACTGTTTTAGTACTGGCAGAGATATTTACTCATCGTCCTCACCAACTCGGAGGGTGCCTTCCTGGCCCAATCCGTGAGCCCAGAAGCCACCGAGCTCGCTGACGCCTTTGCCGTGAGCAAACAGCAGCCAGAAGCCAAAGACAGGCTTGGCCAGGACGTCAAGAATAGCGTAGGCAATGATCTCAGCGTCAACGGACCACTTGCGGGCTCCATCTCCGATACCCCAGACAACTGGGTACAAGGTCCAGAGGATCAGCGTGAAGCCTCCAATGGAAGCGAAGAGCTTAGCAGTCTTGCCGTCCTTGGCAGCAACGGCACGGCGGCCGGGGACGACGAGCTGGTAAACAACGACCAAGTAGGCAATGCAGGCCATGGCGTAGTATCCCCACTTCTGGCCTTCGGACTTACCGAAAGCAGCAAAGAGACCGAGGAGAACCATCAAGATGTCGGCAACCATGACAACCAAGATATTGGCTCCGTTGAGACCAGCCAGGAAGGCAAGATCCAACAGCAGGAGTGGTGTGGTCACGACCCAATCGACGTAGCGGGCCCAGAAGACCTGGCGGTAGAGGTGCTCAACGGTGTCAGGGGTGTGCTTGTGTGCCTCCTTGAGGACGATGTGGGCGTAAGAGTTGCCATCGCCGGTGGCCATGGCGAAGTAGGAGAGGGTGGCAAAGGTGGTGATGAGGGCGGTGATGATGTGGAAGAGGCGTTTTTGCTACAGACTGTTAGCATTCGCCGTACTGATTGATGATGAATGAGATGGGGATGGAAGGGGAGAGCTTACGACGGGGACTCTGAAGGCCAGGTAGTAGAAGCTCAAGGTTGAGAGCAACATGATGAAGAAGACGACCTGGAATTGTTAGTTTTCAGATGTTGTCAGATGCATTGATGGGAGCACCAAAACGTACCCAGAGAGTCTTGGTGCCGGTCTCACCGACCGACTCGTAGATAGGGAGATCGGGCACGACGCTTGGGATGGGCGAGACGTGCGTGGGGGAGGGCATGGGGGGAACCATGAGAGAAGAAGAAGAAGAAGTCTTCATGGCCGCGAAGGCATGCTTGACTTGAGCTGGGTCAATCATGCTGTCTGCGGGAGGGGGGGAGATGTTCGAAGGTTTGAAGGATTGTGGGTGGATGATTGTGTTGATGGTGTTGGAAGTGGAAGAAGAGACGGAGGAGATGGAGGAGGGGATGGAGAGATGAAGATGGAGAGGAAGAAGAAGAAGAGGAAGAGGAAGAAAAGGAGAGGAGAAAGAAGAGGTAGCTGAGTGAATGCGGGGAAGCAGTAGTTTAGGTAAGCTCTTATTAGGGGACTTGGCTACTTTGAGCTAGGTTCGTAGTACGTACAGTGCCACAGTACAAGCACAAGCAAGCTACTTTGCCCTTGCCTGGAAGCCTGGAAGCTCATCCATCCATGACGCGGTCGCCTGCTCTTGCCCTCTTGTCCAACCCACTCTGAACCCGTGACACCACATTGCTCGTCCTTCCGTCCATCCGTCGTCCCATCCAACGTCCCATCCAATACAATGGCGACGTTTCTCCGCTCCACCGACTAATATCAGCTGGCTGCCCTGTTTTCGTATTGCCTGTTCTGATGCCAAGCACAGCAGAGTCTAGATCGATGGAATATCGACGGAGATCCTGGATTCGTGATGATACTATTATTATATAAGCCTGATGTTGACGGCCGACGTCATACGGGACTAGGACTGACTAGTGTTAGCGAGCGAGATTCCAACCCGACCGGACAATGTTTACTTTCCTTACCGTGTGTTGATCGGTGCAACGACGTTCGCCCGTTCGTCCGTTTATCAGTTCGTTCTTTCGTCCGTTCGTACGTTCGTTCTTTCGTTCTTTCGTTCTTCCGTTCTTTCGTTCTCCAGAACAACCCAACACCTGCCCTCCTTCAATAATCTCAATCATCATCACAAGTCACATTTCAATCGACCTTTTTCTTTTTCTTCTTCTTCCTCCTTCCCCCCCTTCCCAAAAGACAGACGATCAAAATTCAAAATAGCACGTCACGTTCCACCGCATCCGCATCCCCATCCCCATCTCCACCTCCCCACTTCCTCCCCAGCCCCTCCCCAGCCCCGAGCTTTGAAACAGAAAGAAAGAGCGAAAGAGGGGCGGGGAGCCAAACCTTCCCCGCAAAAGTCCTAAAATCAAGCTTTCCCCTTCCCCCTGCCCGGTTTATGACGTCACTGTGACTGGCAAATCCAATACCACCAAGCAAGCCAAGCACAACCACAAACCCGGTTTCAGGCCCCCCAAAATATAAAACATAATATATATATATATATATATAAAGACAGGGAAAAGATCCGCTCGTATAGAAAACCAATTCTTTTTTTTTTCTTCGAATTCATTCCATTGATTCATTCCTCGACCCATCCTCGATCTTCGACCCAATCCATCGTAGATTCGAATATCCTTGCATCAAATGATGGAAATGTTAATACAAGAAAGACAGCTTGCCGCCGATGCCCTCCCTATGCTAGCTCACTTCAATGCTTCCATTCGTCCATGCTTCCCTACACGTTATCCGCCGTCGTAGAGCATATATGCATATGCATATGAATGTACATGACCTTTTCAGAATGCGAAAGAAAGAAAGGAAAGAAGAATGGAATAATCCCCCCACTTCAAAAAAAAAAAAAAAAAAAAAGAATTCAAAACTTCGGGAACGGGTGGGAGAAGAAACCAAAACGCCGCCACGATGCACCTTCACCCAGTCGCCGCCGCCGCCACCGCCGCCGCCTTTTATGCAAACCCAAGTTACTGAGCCTGTTCCTGGATGAGAATCAGGTCGGATCAAATCCAAATCAAAGCATGGCCTGGAACCAGCTGAGCCCGACCAACCCATAAACTCATTTATCCATGCCGTCGTTCCTTTTTGCCATGCCTGTCATGTGCCGTGCGTGCGTGGGTGTGTATACCGTCGCTGAGAAATATGCCGTGGTGTATCATTGTCGTCGTCGTCGTCGTCGTCGTCTCTTTCCTTCTAGTGATCCAAAGCAGAAGTGTATCAAATAATGACCAGCAGCGAGTGTTCCCGAGTCACGTGTCGTGTTATTACCATCCGAGAGCAGCTTCGGCTCCTACGAGATGTACCTCGCTTCGCCCCCGATCTATCTCTGGCCCAACCACCTAAACCTCCTTGTCGAGTAACGGCAACAACTGGCTCATGGCCCTCGCGCTCCCCTCACTGCTCAGAATCACCGCCCCAGCGCGTGCCGTACTCAGATAACTGAGCTCGCCGCCCTCGCCGCCCCCAAACCCCGAGCACAGCTGCCCCGCCACGCCACACACGATTCCCGTGCTCTCCGCCGGCAGGCCGCCCAGGTCCAGGAAGATCGGGACGAGGTCTCCGTCGGCGTCGCCGATCACGCTGTTGCCGAAGAGCCAGAGGAGAGATTTGTCGACGAGCAGGGAAGGTGCGTCGTCTTGGGCCAAGGTAATCGAGAGGAAGCGCGGTTGGTTGATCAGGGCAGATACCAGCCCGATGTAGAATTTGGGATCGATGGTCGATAGCCACGAGCCCTGCTCACCGTGCCCATTCCCATTGCCATTACTGCGAGAAGAGTGTCCGTTCACGTTGAAACGGGGGTAATCGTCCTCCGGCAGGATCTCCTTGCCGGAGCACTGCACGAGGTGCAGGTCCGGCTCGATGAACGGCACCACGTTCCTCTTCTTCAGCTGTGAGAAGGTGCGGACCTGCAGCTCGGCGACGTTGCTCGGGGGCGGCGAGGGTGGCGGCTCCCCCGCCGACATCGACGAGGATAGAGACGAGGTGGCGCTGGGAATGCGGGAATGCGTGAGGTGCGACAGGGGGGCCTGCACGTACGCGCTGTCACTCTCGGAGAACTCGAAGCCACGGTCCAGCAGGGCGGCGCCGACGGTCTGCCGGTCCTTGGCCGGCACCAGGATAAAGTCGGTATAGTAGGTTGTGATGAAGAAGATGGGGATGGCGGCCATGGCCAAGGGCGCCGTCAGATCCATCACGCGCTGGCCGGCTTCCATGCCGGCCGAGTTGACCGAGAAGACAATGTACGTGTCTTTCGAGATGTTGCACCGTTTGGAGTCTTCCTTGGGCAGGCGGGAGAGGAGCGGGGCGAAGACATTCTGGGCCCAGGACGCGTGACAGACGATGGAGCATTCGATGGGCGTGACGCTGATGTTTAGGAAACCGTGTTGGTTGTCTAGAGAGAGACCTTCGAGCAGGCCTTCTGGGTCCTTGTTGTTATGGGCCGGTCCGCCGTGGGGGAGGAGGACTCGGAGGATGGGCTGGAGGACGGCGGCGTAGAGGGGGAGAGGGATGTGTATCAGGCTGAAATGGCCTTCCTGTGGTCCGTTAGTCTCGTGGATGACGACCGGTTTGATCTTGATGTCGGAAGACGTAGGGGAGTTGTTCCCATTGATGTGAGAATGAAGGGGCGAGTATGAGCGTAGCAGGATGAGACATTGGGAGCCTTTGAATAAAGTCATGGTCCATCATCTATCCCATGAGGGGGAGGAGCGCGCACGCAAGACCGAGCCTAACATACGCAGCCACACGACCCAGACGAAACATTGCAACGAAAGACAAAAGACAAAAGGTCGCGCGAAACTCTTACAATAAAAGATATTTGTGCATTCATGATGGATAGATGGATGCTCCTCTGCTGCTTCCCCGTCGTGGCTTCCTTCTGACTAATAATAGCGAGACCAAAATAAATTATGCAGGCGGTTCAAGACTGCCAGTGCCTTGCAGCCAGCCGGGTTCCAACGGCAGCTGGAATCGAGTCGGTTGTTGTTGGGGAGGGGCCGGGGCAGCTTCGGTTCCGGTTCGAGTGGGTTGGCTTCGCTTCCCCACAGCTGCTCTGCATCCACGACAGGGACGGGCAGGTGCAGGATCTTTGAAGTATGTTTGGAATTTCTGAGGCCGTGTAGATGCGAAGCGAGGCGAGGGAGGGAGGATATCAAATAGGGCTCGGTCCGGCGCGGTTCAGGTAGTTATGACGGCAATTGATGATGGGTTTGAAGAAGAGGAGGGGGGGGGGGGGGAGAGATTGTCTGAGCTATAAGTGTCTGCAGCGGTGCGTGGTGCATGCGATAGATGGTGACAGGTCAATTGGGCGGATTGCGTGGGGGTTCTCGTGTTGATGCTGGCTGCTTGTCGAGGAACGGAATGCCCTGGGCGTGCTTGTTGTGGCGGGGGGTCGAGTGATAGGAAGCAGCCAGGGGAAGGGAGTGGTGTAGGGAGATAGGTAGGTAGGTAGGTAGGTAGGTAGGTAGTTGAGTGGGTAGGTACTTTGAGATCCAGATGCGAGTGGAGGGGAGGGGGTATTGAGGATCAGTCAGGGTAAAGGGTAGAGGGTAGCAGTGAATCGATGATGGGCGACGCAGGGTACCGAAAAGGATACCGACTCGTAGTAGTTGTAGTAGTTGTAGTAGAAGTCGTAGTATGGAAGGATGGAAAGCGTGATTGATTGAGGAAGTTTACAGTAAGCGGAAGAGAAGTGAAGTGAAGTGAGGTGACGAAAAATTCATCCCAAGAGGGGTCGGCGCTAATATAAAGTATATAGAAGATCCCGAAAGCCAGATCCAAAGTCAAAGTCCAAGCTAGAGTCCATGTCCAAGCCAGAGCCAAAAGTCTCTTGGAAGAATAGAGAAGTACAGTCCTACAGTACTGTAAGTAGAAAAGTAGATATAGATAAGTAGATAGATAAGTGTACTTTAACGGAGACAAAAAAAAGTTTGTCCCGTCCCACAAAGAAACCAGCGCATGCCTCGGTTGTCGCGTAACGCGGGTCTGTCCGACGACGATCGCTAGTACTAGTACCGTCGAGTGACTATTGTACGTAGTAAGTACCGTAGCATCAAAGGGACAAGGAAGGACAAAGACGGACAAGGAGACCAACGTTTGCGAAAGTCGTCACGGCGCAGCAGATGCCCCATCCCCATGCTACTGCTGCCCTTGGCTACAACTAGTAGGTAGTCGGAGCGATCGTGGCAAGGATATAGATAGATATACTTTTCATGGGTACGGACGGATATTGATAAGTAATAAAATAAGTATGGATATCGCGCCTCGACCTACACTCGAGACTGTGCGAGCAGCACTCAGAACATGCACAAGGGCATTCCTCCTGATCCAGTATCATAGCATCATAGCATCCCGTTGAAACGATACCTTGGTAGCGCTAAGATAGAGTGGAATGAGGTCCAATGCCAGAACATCCGCTCAACAAATTAAGCGTGCGGGAGGGGCGTCTTGGTGTCCGACCACAACCGGTATCGTACGTAGTATATTTGTCAGTATGTAACATGCGCAAATCCGCGGGCTGAACTGCTGGCAACTCGATCGTTGTACGGGAAGGGGGAGTAGGCCTTCTTCCGGGCGACGGTGATAGGCAAAGCCAGAACTCTAAGTAGGGAGATATTGCCGTCGTCAAACGCGGAGGCGGACACAGACGCAGAGGTAGACGCAGGCGCAGACGCAGACGCACTGTAACACTCGCCAGCTGTTCGTGCCAGTGACCTCCATACTCCGTATGCATGCTGGCTGGCTGGCTGGCTTGGTGTTGACGGGTGCCAGCTTGGCTCGTGGGTCTGTGGGGGGGGGGGTTCAGAACGAATCCATGATATGACTGAGGTTCTTTGGATAGATGACCATGACGATAATGATGCGGTAGATGCAGTCTGGATTGTCGGTACCTAAAGGGACTCAAGTTAAAGTGAGGAATATAGTAAGTAGGTAGTAGAGTAACAAAAGATATGGAAAAGGAAGATGTAGATGTAGATCTGTATAAAAGGTACTCCGTGGAGAAATACAAGATGCACCCACGTGATGGTCTTGGCGCTTTGTCATCCCATACTGTACAGCTTCTTGCTCTCTACTCTGTAGATCTTTCAACTCTTCAACTCCCCTCGTAAACTTCTCTTTCGTACATACATTTCAACATTTCAAAATCCCGCTCGCTCAACCACATTCACGATAACCCCATCTTCAGCCTGCCCCCCCCTCCCCTCATGGCATCCCAGACTCCTGCAGGGCAATGGACCTCCTCGTCTGCAGCAATGATCATCCGTTGCCATGTTAAAGCACGGCATGATTAAAGGTAAGATATTACATTCCCATCGCTCATGCGCAGTCACCAAATGGGCATCATCAACCCCAATCGAGAATTATCGAGATTTCAGTCTGTACCACTCGACATCTCCACAATCCAATCTCCATCTCCAATCCAAGCTTTCCCCCACCCACGGTCCAGCCTCCCGCTGAACGTACCTCGCAGAAGCGCCAATCGGCTCCCTTCCTGGATAGAGTGTTTCTTCAAGGTTGCGGCAGCCCTCTCGAAAGCATACAGAAACAGCTGCTTACTCCATACGGTACGGGCTTGAGCTGCTCCGTACGGACTTGAGCTGGAGAATATGTCTCAGTTGGCATTTCCCGCACGCCTCTTCTTGACGATCTAGTGGTGAAGATTCCCCGACCCAGATTATGCTGTCTCAAACCCAAATTATGCCATGAGGGGTATGTACTACGTAGTTACTACGTACTACGTATATTGGTATTTGTCAATTCGAGCGCGGCAGATCCTAAAATCGGGACCCCGTCTGCAAACACTCACACTCGGAGACCCCTCCCCATCCAGGCTGGCAGGACGCACGTCTTCATACAGATACAGAAACCAACGCAACTCGTGCACCAGAAAATTCCTGCAAGCCGCAAGCAGAACATCCTGATCTCAGATCCATACAAAATGAATCAAGATTGACCATCCCGCACCAGATCTTACGTATGCAAATCTCGGGTATCGGTATCTGAAGTGAAGTACCGGTACGTTGTTGCTTCTCTCCGCCCCCATGATTACATGTCGAAAGTATAATTTTGCAAGGGATCTTACCAGGTCTTAACCGACAACTCATAAGGATTCATTCAGCCTTGAAAAGTATCTTTGAGCCAGTTTTTAGTCTGTGCAATAGAGTTGATAGGGCTTTAAGCCATTCAGTTATCACTGCTTTACGATTTATAGAGCTAAACTGGGTCCGACATTTACGTAGTATTCATGGGGGGGGGGGATAGTATCCTCTACTCTAGTGCGGTATGCACGACATCTATCTCGCATTAGCGCACGCTCTGGAGAAAGTAAAACTTTGACCCTCAATAGCTAACGGATAGATCCCGAAACGGAACCCTTTGCGGGCGCGCATAAAGGCACCACCAGCTTGAGACCGGGTAGGGAAGGTTACTTACTCTACTAGCGGCACCGGCTCCTCATTCCTCGTTAGTACCAAGAGAAAGACGCAGTTCCAAGAAAACACGAAATGAGCAAGCCGAAATTTGAGATTAGAAGGGTCGAAGAAGACGAATACAAGACTTCGTATCGCACGAGGAAGAAGAAGAGAAGAAGAAAAAGAGAGAAGAAAAAAGAAAAATCATGAGGGAAACCTAGAAACGAAGACACAACAAAGGGAAAAGGACAGTCTGGTAAAGAGAGAAAATGATAAGCGAGATTGGCTTTATCAACGTCGCGCTTTGGGAAGGAAGGGAGCCGGGGAGATGGCCTTACGTTACATACTTGTTTGCAGTGTACACGCGGAGCAACCATTCGAAGGGGGGGGAGGGGGCGATGGAGAAAATATCCATTGCTTACTGCGAAACTCATTCACTTACTCACCAGAAGTTTTCCATCTCGGAGTATGCCGCTGGCCGAACCGACAGACCAAAATAGAGAAGAGGGAAGAGGAAAATTTGGAAATATGGAAATATGGAATCGAAACGGGCCGAGATCCACACCAGTGGCTCCCGCTCTCCACCCCGAAAACAAAAACCTGGGATCCGTTGATTGAAGCTAGCGTTAAGCCGGTGAGCCTTAAGCCGTTAAGCCGCGCCGATGCGAAGGATGAAAGAAAATATTCCATTTTCTTGTCCCCTTCTTATTTAAAGAATAGATATTGATTTATTCGAAGGATTATCCACTATCACCTTTTTAAATAGCAGTCTTATTGAATTCTTTTCGATCTACTTATTTACTTATGTATACATAGTAACCTGGAACTCCATCGGAAGCCGCCTTTCCCTTCCTTCCTTCCTTTTCCGGATACATGACATACGTGAACAAATAGATCATACAAAGCCCTTCCTTCCTCCCCGGGCATTCTTCGCTTCCAATTCTCGCTTCCAATTCTCGCTTCAATAAAAAAAAAATAGTCATCTGGTTATGTAAGATAATCCAGAGCTGTCTTCCATCAACTGGCGGGGAACTCGGGCGCGATGGCTTAACGGCTTGATCTCCAAGTTCCTATCCAGTTGGTGTAGATTCTCAAAAAAAAAACAAAAAAAGCCCATATGCGACAACTGCCCACATGCGACAACTATGACATATCGGAAAACCTATTCAGTTAGGTTTGTAGACCGGAACCTCATCATGGATGGGCTTCCGGTTGAGTTTTGCTGGATTTTTACCTTTTTTTTTTTTTTTTTTTTTTTTTTTTTTTTTTACAAATTCGCATGAGATGATTTCTCATTTCATTCTTTTTGGTTGTGGAGACGGAGAGAGTTGTAGGCGGCCCGTTTCGGCAGCGTGCGCGCGGTTTAAGGGAAGGTGAGGTTAAGTGAGCTTCGTTCGTGTGGAAATCAAAGGTGAAGGAACGCTTTCTTCGACGGGAGAGGGAGAGAGAGAGAGAGACATCCTTCGCGATGTAACTTTTGCACGCCGAACACCGTCCGGGAGGAGAAGAATCCGTAGCGGGATGTGACCGGCCAAAAAGTTGGTGAGGAGCTGAAGAACGGGCCTGTAAGATACGCCCGAAAAAAAGAAAGATTCCACCCCCTTCTATTATTCAGCTGATCTGACGGACGACATTAATCGCGTTTTTTATATCCAGGTCAGTGAGCTCCGAGCTGGCAAGATGAGTCTACCTCCTTCAGCCGCTTTTCATGCATCCGTGGGATTCCATCGGGGCGAGAGACCCGAATCGTTAATAGCGGCTTGCTGGTCTTTAATATTGGTTTCGAAGCTTTCGCATACGGTTGCATCCAACTAGCTGTTCAATATATTTCCAAGGTTCTTGATCCTGGCCCGCGGCCGGCAGACCCCGACTGACTGACTGGCTATCTTCATCCAGGCGGATCTGGAGAGCCATTTAGAAAGGGGGGGGTGAGATGATGGAGTTCCGGAGTAAAATCTCGAATGAATGCGTAGGATCAGCTCTCCATTGGAGGCAGAACTTACAACTGCGTCACTTTCTGCGACCGGCTTTCCTCTCTGGTACAGGGTAAAGAGGCATCTAAAGTAGGGGAGTTTCAATCTCAAACTCATATGAAGCACGAATAAACAGCTTCATCGCTTTATTTTGATATATACCTCCTGCTGTCGACATCTCAGAGGCAGCGCGTGTCCAGCCACCCACTCTCTCGTACGCCTGGAGAAAAGTCTCTAATAGCTGGTTCTTTCCGGATGGGGATGATCCACGCTACTGGTTTCATGAGTAAGGAATACATTTCCGTAACGAAGTCTACCAACGATACTACCCATCGAAGACCTTCGAGAGAAGGATGGGGCGCCCAAGCTAAGCGATTCTGGAAACTCAAATCTGTGTTGAGCTACAGAAGGACCAGGAGAAAAGGCCATCGGGTTGTTACGACAGGTAAGATCTACCGTCGCGATGTTTGCCAACTTGCCTATCTTTTCAACCATGGCTTTATAGTCAGCAGTGAACACTTTAATTCCCTAACACGCGGCATTAGTGCGTCAGAACTTCGGGGATTCGAGGTATCCGAGCCTAGATCAATGCCAAATGCGGCCATGAAAACCTCTTGAGCGACTTGCTTGGGTTGATATTGATAGATACAGGCTGGGGTAAAGGAATCCGTATTATCCAGATTTCCTGATGAGTTCCATCGAGAAGCAACTTTGCACCGGGGCGTTCTTTCGACACGCCAAATCTAAAGAGGAAAGACTTCGCTTGGGTTGCATCGCTTTTTCCGGTATCATCTCGATAAGTCTCGATCTGACCTTTGGCTTCGATACGTTGGGAACAGATCAGCAATAAAACGCTAGCAAGATCAGGTTTAGTCCATATATATCATATTCCCACCAGATGCCCATTTCAAGATCAGCCCTCGATAAATCCACCTGCAAACTCGAGAAGCGAAGATAGTAGTAGTATTTGGGGGTCATGCGGCCGCAATCTACCGAATGTCAACAAAGCCCTCTGAACAACGTTCGCTGATCGTGACGCTGATCCGTTCGCATACACCTTCTCTTTTCGCACCTTGAGATGGATACCATCAAAATCAACTGCGCGACCCACACTTGACTGGACTCGCCGCTTGACGAGTCGAATTTCCAAGATCCCGAGGTAAATGCGGAGGCTAAGCGAGCCTGCCTTCAAGAATGGGGGATGATATGCCGCCGGCCCACCATCCACGACAAGCAGAATCAGATCACCAAACCCGGCCCGCTGCTCTCGATAACCTTCCTAGACGAGAACTCGCCCCTATCCCAGCCAAACCCCCTATCGGACACTGCGCGGCCCTCTTCTAGCGAATCAACAACAACTCCACAAATATATACATACGGACCGGACGACCCGGGCTCAGCTATCGACCGGGCTTACACGCTCTTAATTTCATGCATGTCCCGTGTGAACCCTCCGCCTCCTTCTCCTTACCATAGCTACCCATATAACCCCAAAACCACAACACGACATTTAACCGCTCAATCTGCCGACCAGCTTCAACATGGATGCCGCGTCTCTCATCACCAAGGCGCGCAAGGTGCGGGACGACTCCATTGCTGAAGTCACGCCGGCCCTGGCGGGCCTCCCGGATCCGCTTCCCAGGAACGTGATGGGTGTCTACAGAGATGTCTTGACGGAGGAGGAGATCAAGATCACTTCTTACGATGCGCCGGAGCTGTTGCTGGCTATCAGGGAGAAGGTGTTTTCGTGCGAGACGGTCACGCGGGCGTTCTTAAGGAGGGCTGCCTTGGCACAGAAACTGGTAGGCCTCTCCCTATGTCTACTCAAGTCACGGCTCAAATACATTTTGATACGAATATGTAAAAGTATGGAGTTGGTATGTTTGATTTTGATTGATATCCATCCTAGACGAATTGCATAGCCGAGCTGCTGCCTGCCAGAGCCATCGCGCGGGCAAAGTACCTCGACTCCCTGCCCGCACCGATGGGACCCTTCCATGGGCTTCCCATCTCTATTAAAGAGCACCATGGCATGCAAGATTGCGAGACAAACGGAGGCTACGTGGCCTGGATCCAAGAGCCCAAGACCGGGAACGTTTCCGTCAACGACATCCTGTATGAAGCTGGCTGCGTCTTCTATGCCCGAACCACGCAACCGCAGGCCGTAATGCATTTGGAGACCAGCACCAACATCTACGGGACCACGACGAACCCCTGGAACACGGATCTGACTTCCGGCGGGAGCTCTGGAGGCGAGAGTGCTCTTGTTGCGTGTCGAGGGAGTATCCTGGGCATAGGAGGTGACATCGGTGGCTCAATCCGCTGCCCAGCAGCCAACGTTGGTGTCTACGGCTTCAAGCCTACCCCAGGTCGCATGGGAAAGATGGGTTCCCACGCCGCAGTCTCGGCCCAAGACGGTATCATCGCAACCGAAGGCCCTCTCGCCACTTCGCGATCCGGTATCGAGCTCTTGATGTCCACATATTTCTCCTACGAGCCGTGGGTCAGGGAGACCTCCCTCGTACCGCTTCCCTGGCGTCCGGTGACGCTGCCACCAAAGCTAAAGATTGCGATCTTGTGGGACGACGGAATCGTAAGACCCCATCCTCCCATCACCCGTGCCTTGAAGGAGGTCAAGCAGAAGCTGGAAGCTGCCGGCATGGACGTCGTGGACTGGAAGCCCGAAGGCCACGACGAGTGCTGGAACCTGACCCAAGCCCTGTACTACGAGGACGGAGGAAAGGCCGTCAAGGACCTGATCGCGAGAGGCGGCGAGCCCTTGCTGCCGCTGACCGACTGGCTCATCAACAACAACGATAACGTAAAGTACCGAAGCGTAGAAGAAGTCTGGGATGTGAGTTTCTTCATCTTCCTCCCTGCCCTCCATCCATGTATCCAGAGCCAAAGAATGCACAAAAGCTGACCCAGCGCCCACCAAAAAACAAAGCTGAAAACCAGACGCAACAACTACCGCAACCGCTACAACGCCCTCTGGCTCGCCACGGGCGCCGCCGACTCCCACCCCGTCGACGCCATCCTCTGTCCCGCCGGCCCGGGCCCGGCCCCCCCGCACGGCAACGCCAAGTACTGGTCCTACACCTCCCAGTGGAACATGCTCGAGTACCCGGGCGTCGTGTTCCCCGTCACCGCCGTCGACCCGCGGACCGACGTCGAAGAGACGGCCTACGTGCCGCGGAATGAGCCGGATCGGTTCAACTGGGAGCTGTATCAGAGGGAGCGCTACGTAGATGCGCCGGTCAGCTTGCAGATTGTCACGAGGCGGTGGGAGGATGAGAAGTGTTTGGCGGTTCTGAAGGAGGTGGAGAAGGCCATGGGGAGGGAGTAGGTAGCTAAGTGAGGTGGGTAGGTGGTGGGCGGCAGCAATCTTTCTTCGCTGGGTCGCTTGTTTGCACGTGTTGGTACACGGCTCATTGGATAAGTTACCGCCCCGAAAAGATTGGTCGAGGCGAGATTCAAAGCTCAACTGTTAATCTTATGATGCGCACTTTCAACGAAAAGTCCGTTGTGCAAAAATACCGAGGCAACGATTACACGTGAGGCAGGCCATGGGGATATAGATTGATGTCTGCTACAGTCTCTACACCACCATCTCGTGGCCCCTCCCCTCGCAAGAGTTTTGTCCTCACGTCCCGCCCACGACGCAGCTCTTACTCACCACCGTTCTTCCCACCCGCCGCCTTCTCCTTGCCATCCCTCAACACCATCTTCTCTCCATCATCATCAGCCCGACCATTCTTCTCTCTATCCTTAACCTCGGGCCCACCATCTTCCGCACCGTCATCCTTTTTCGCCTTCTTCTTCTCCTGCTCCCGCTTCTCCTCCTCCTCCTCCATCTCTCTCTTCCTCTTCTTGATCTCCTCAGGCGGGCTATCCTCAATGAGTTCGCTCTCCCCCTGCATACCCGCCCACTGTACGAAGGACCAGAGAATCAGTCAATTACCTGTGCCAAAAGAAAAAAAAACATTCTCGAAGCGGAACAAGGCTTTCCAAAAAGGGTTAAGGGAGAGAGACGAAATTCCCAATCGACGTACCTTCGGTTTTCCGTCCAGGATATCCACCACGCGGTTCTCGTAGAACATGTGACACCTACCCTCCCCCATTAGCCACCTCCTCTCATTTTTGATAAGGGAAAAACCACAGCAACAACGACAATAACAGAAAACAAAGCCCCAAAGAAAAGAACTCACTCGGCCTCCCATCCCGCCCTCTTTTCCCTCCCCTTCTCCCCCTCCCCCCACTCAATCAAGCCCGGAAACAGCAAGATCATCTTGCGGCCCTCGTCCATGATCAGGCTACCACAGTAGGCACAGCTAACCTTGCACGGCAACTTATGCCGCGTCGTCTTCTCCCCGCTCTCGTACCACTTGAGATCATGGTGACCCTTCAGGAAATTGATGTCCCCCTTTTTAAAGATGGCTGCGTGTTGGAAGGGCGCGCCTGTGTTTCTCCGCTTGCATTTAGCCACGACCCAAGCGATGGATAGGGGTCAGGTTGTACTACCATGGATACGCTGACACGTCTTGCAGTGGCAGAACTTCGCCTTGAGCGGTCGCTCGCGACTCAACTGGTATTGGACGCGCCCGCAGTGGCAGCCGCCCTCGAGCACCGCCTTGAAGTGCCCGTTCTCGTGGATCTTGTATGGCGCGCGGAACTTCCACTCGTTGTGCTCGCCGTCAATGTCCTCCGTTGCATGGCCCTGGGCTTTGGCTTGCTGCTTGTCGGCAGACGAGGGGGCCATCGTAGCTGTGGTGATGGCGTGGAGGCGGTGGAGATGGAGGTGGAGGTGGAGGTGGAGGTGGAGGTGGAGCGAGAGGGACGGCTGCGGCGTCGAATCTGAGTTGAGAGCTTTCGGCTTGGTGGAGGGGGTTGGAGGGGGTGGAGGGGGAAGGGAACTGTGGGAGGGAGTTTGGTTCGATATTGGAGGCGGAAGGTGCGAGTGAGGCGCATGAAGCTGGTACCGGTACTTCGTAGATGTTTAAAGAAAGGGACGAGAAATGCACGTGTGGATAAAAGTTGGCTTAACGGAGCTTAGTTCATTGATCGACGGTGCGAGTACCGAGTACCTGATAGACTCGTCACTACTCCGTCCTCCGCCCTCCGTACCCTTCTGCGAGGGTCCGTTCCTGCGCAAGCCAAGCGAGCTGACGGTGATCTCGTGACCCTCCTATAGAATCTTCGTACAACTAACTGGTGGAGGTTTAGCTCGCGGCCGGTGAGCCATCAGCCATCAGCCATCAGCCATCTAACCAGCCATCGATCAAACGGGCATGACGTTGACCATGTTGGCGGAATGCCACTAGCCCCCCCCCCCACCCCTTCCCGCTTTGCCCCTTCCCCCACGCTATCACGTGTGTGAGCATTCCTTACAGGATTTGCGCCGTCATGTGGGTGTCGGATTGATTGCTCGGTCTGTCCAGTGTCCAGAGCGAATCCAAAGGTATCAATCATCGAGCATTTCTGGCCCGGTCCCTTTCCGCAGCAGCCTTTTCTGCCCTTTCCTTCTCCATCTTCTCGAGATGAGCAATCATGTTTTTGGAGTTCACTTCATCGAAGCCAAGATAATGGATCAGGTAGTGTTGCCTATGAGCCTGTCAGTATTGAGGTTCCAACCGATATCGGCAAAAGGAGACACACCTCGCTTCACGAATGAGGCGCCGTTTCCTATCTATCCTGTCCTGTAAGCACTCCGTCCACTTCAGACTGCGTCTCTCCGGCGATATTGACTTGAACTTGATTTCGAATTCTGAGACGACAGGTCGATGGTCCGAGAGATGAAGCTCTTCTCGTCGGTAGTCAAGCTGCTTGATGCCGTCACCGCCTCGGTAGAGCACTCGATCACACCACGCCGGTACTCGTTTCTTCTCGCTGGAATCGTACTTATCCGTGCCCACATCGTACTTGTAGGTCGGGGCGAACGTGATCGGCCCTTCGCGGAACGCTTGAACCTTATGCCACGGCTGTCTTCGTCTCGTCATAAGTAATTGATCTCTGGTGAGGAGTTTGGCGAGGTCTCCTTTCTTTAACAGACTGACAACGCCCTGGGTGCCCATCGTATCGATCCGGTAATTAAGATCTCCGTTGAGGACACAGATCTCGTGATCTAAAACCATGCTTCCATCCCCACCTCCTACATAGCTATCTTGCAGGACGTCGGGCTGAGTCACAGGGAGCAGAAGATGGCTGTCAAAGATCGCAGCAAGGTCCGCCGTGCGATCTTTGGATTGAGATTGACCAGCTGCAAGATGGCAGTTTACGAAGCACATTGACGTATCATCTAAAACGAAGCGGACAATCAGAGCACCCTAGTTCGATAATCAGAGGTGGCAACTACTTGAGCGGCGTTAGTACGCACCTTGTTGCCATGATGGCCACCCAAGCCTCGCTTCAGTTGAGCTTGATCAAGAGACCGGATTCTGGGCTTCAATGATCCTTTGACAAAAATGAGAGTGTAAAGCCCAACAAGCTTCGAATTGTGAAGCGCTTGGTAGATTTCTCCAGTGTCGTCCATGCATCTCTGAAGAAACGTTGTCCAGTCGCGGTATGCCTTACTCATATGCTCCTGCTCTGTAGCCGGGTCTACCTTCTTTTTGGAAGACTTGAAGATGGTTTCTGATATCTGTAAGCACGCAACTTTTTGTCAGGCATAATCAGGACATACTGGTCATGATTTTCTTATCTTCGAGATCAACCAATTCCTGGAAGCCGAAAACTACCATATCTGGAAGGTCGCCTTTCCTAAACAGGTCCCTGAAAAAGTTCGCATCTTCTTCGTGTTGCTGTTTCTTCAGCCACGAGGGTGATGACGCGCCCGCATTCCAGCTCATGATAAGGACCTTGATCGGAGTGAACCCTGAAAATTGAGCTTCTTGGGACTGCATGCGGTGTTCTGGCGATTTTTTTTATTTTAGTAAAGTTCATCTTAGGGCTCAGGTAGACCATACCTATCCAATCATCTTCTAGCAAACCGTCCCACAATTGTATGATATTGTCCTGACCAAGCGAAACAACCTGTACACGATCTGCTGTCCAACAGCTTCTCTGATCTGTGATCAAGTTTACGACCTGAGACTGATGGCCCGACCAATCTTTCTTCACAATCCACGTTGAGGGTTTCGTATCATAGACGTAGATAGCTCCAGTGCTGAAGCCAGCCCATAGATAAGGACCCGCGCCAGCCAGCGCCGTGATCTTGTAAGGGCTAATGGTCAGAATGCCCAAGCATGCATAGTCACTACGGGAGTAAATGCTGATCTTTCCATCTGTATGCCCAAAGTATACTCTATCAGATAGAGAGCCAACCGTCGCCCCAGAGGTGATTTCGCCGGCGCTGGGCTGATTGAGAGTACCCTGCAGTACCATCCATTGGCTAGAGCCATCAGTTGTTGGCGCATACACTCGTATGTCTTTTCCGGTGGCGACCCACAATTCGTGGACAACGACCATGGAGAACGTGTGTCCTTTCTGTATTCGGAAAGTTCTGCTTGGATTTTCGGAAAGGCTTGGGGATCCAGTACTGTCTGGTCCCCATAAGTGCAAGCACCCGCCATCGTCGAGGGTCCACATTTCGTTGAGATGCCTGTGGATCTTGACGACGTCACGCCGAGTGTGGGCATTTTTAGTGGCCACAAGTGCCTGGGTATGAACGTCGTATTCGAAAAGATCACCTCCGTTGTTACCGAGCCAGAGCCGGGTGCCTTCGTCTGCAACATCGGCTGTAGGCTTGAATGCAACAGAGACCATCCTGACACCTTCGGTATGAGCTAGACTCATCAGCATCTCGCCGTCGACCAAGCTCCATACTCGCGTGTAGTTGCCCGTGGTGCAAACATATTCGCCACAGATATCAAGGATCCTTGTATCATACTTTGTGGGCAGCTCTTTCATTCCAAAAGGGTAGCGAGGTATTCGCCTATTAGAGTGTGAAAGGTCTGGGAACTCCCCAGGCTCGGCCTCCTTGATATTTTGATTTGCTGATGAAATATCAAGCGACTGGCGAGGGTCCACGTTGGTAATTGGGGTCCTGAACTCAATCGGCGCTCTGTCGGAATTCCTGTCAACTGTCATCGACCGTCCGTGCCTTGTAGGTGTCTGCGTGTGCAACTGCGATTGCGATCGCTGAAGCTGGATTTTCGCTGTGGGAGAGGAAGATACTCGTTTGGGGGGAATTGGATAAAGGGGTCCTTCTTCTGGTATGGACCTTGTTATAGTCGTTGTCGTTATCGGCGGTCGAGATCTGTCCATAGAAGGCCGAACAGGAGGGGGTGGCATCACGTCTCGGTAGCCACGAGCCTTTGTAGGTTCGGGGACGGCCTGAGGTCTTGTTGGTAGGGCTGGTCTTTGCTCCCCTGTGGCCTGAGGTGACAACAGCCCCCTACTTGGTCCATTGGTTTCATGATCCTTTCTCCTCGTTACGACGGAGTGATGTACAGGCGGCGGATCAAATATCTTGTGAGCAGATTGCAAAGGCTCGATAGCAGATCGGGGCCCAGCAGCATTCCAAGGGCTGGTGCGCGAGAGGGCTGGCATGGGAAACTCATGCTCAGGGCTACCTCCACTGCTTGGCGGGGTACTGAATGGAGATGATCGGTCCATAGATCGAGGCCCGGGCTCTAGTTTTGTGGCCTCGTTCCGCGGTGAGAGCAATATCGGTTTGCTGCTTATCTTGGGTTTGTCTGCTCTGTTCACGGGGGGGGCTTTTGATTTGGTGGTTCCCTCGAGGACTTCGGTGATCTCTCTCCTACTCAATTCTCCTGATCTCCTACTAAATTCTCCAGATCTGCGAGGTGGGGGAGGTGACGGCGGCCGGGAAGACGATGGCTTGGGGAATCTCCCTGGTTCCATGTGAGGGGTAATAGGTCTACTGGGTATCCTGAAATGCATAGAAGATGCGCTTCCCGATGAAGCAGATATGGGAGAGTCGGTCGAGAGATATGCTGGGGTATGCGGTAATACTAGATTCGCAGTATTCGCCTTCGGTGGGGATTGTGGAGGTTGAATCGTGACTGCTGGTGTGATGGTAGATAGAGGACGCGGCCGAAAGAATCTCTTCGGGGAAGGAGACACGTCCGCAGAGGCAGTTCGAGGTGGGCGCAGTTCATTGCCAGCCTTATCCATTTTCCTCCCTCTAGAGACGCGCAGGGCGTCATCCGCATATCCCACTTCCTCGTGTTGCACGGTAGAGCCGGGCCTGCTGATATCTCTTGCACCGTGACTGACACCATTGCCGGTAAGCTGCGGCGAGATGGGCTTGGGTCCTACGGGAGGTGGAGGTGGTTTCGGCTTGGACTTCGCCATTTGTTCGAAATGGGAGCGCAAAGAGGATACTGGCTTCTGTTGCGCCCAATTAGCACACCATAGACCTGTTGCTTCGGGAGTATGCCACGCACTATGGACGAGCCGTCGAGGCTCTTTGCAGCTTCCTCCATGGCGAATGTTCCTGGCACCTAGAGGGGTTATTCGAGATCGAGTGGCATGCCCATTGGGAGTCGAAGCACGGACTCATAGATTTCCAGCCGACCAACCCCAAGAATAATATGAAGAGCCTCAAGTCGAGATTCGTCTGTCTGTGCCGGACTATCAAACACACCAACATTCGTGGAAGGCAAAGGGAGGGATGGAGGAGAGGGAGGGGAGAGGAGGGGCAGGGGCGCGTCTCGAGTTCGATGATACAGGACGAGAGGAATCCGGGGGAATTCTTGTTTGATGTACCTCGTCTTTCGTCTTTCGGCGGATAAAGTTTGAGGCTGTACGGAGCGCTCCGAAGGAATTGAATAAGAACTTAGCGAGACCCTTGATGTCGATTGTGTTTTGTTGTCTTCGAGTGTCGTCTTCCCGCAGCGCACTGCACTGCACTGCACTGCACTGCACTGTACTGGTCCAGGTGTGTGAGGTAGGTGGGTAGTCTTCGCGTCTGTTTATCTTCTTGTTCGTGTTGGTAGCTACCTATCTCTACGCCTGGTCAGCGAGCAGCAATAGCAACAAACGAATTGTTGCCCTGATGTGATATGAATTTGTGGAAGTCTTCTCCTCTGGAATTCAGCCTATTCTTGGTGGTCGATATGCTCCATATTAAATTTAGCAGGGGTTGAAGTACGTAAGGTACTACTACCGGTAGTAACTTGTCAGGGCTGATGAGAAAAGCCGGAGTTCTTCCGCTACGTCCGTACCTACCGGTACATCGGTCGTACGGAGCATCCGAAAGATGTGAGAGGAGCCATGAGAGCAGATCGACAAACGACCGACCGACCGACAGACAGACCATCTATTTCAACTCAAACAACTCTCCGTAAAAGCCATTCTCCATCCCCTACTCTCGGCGCCGGAGAAGCCATTGCTATTGCTGTCATCTCTGGAAGAATTATCTGGAGCTTGATCCCAAATCCCACATTTTCAAAATGAATACTGTAAGAAACCACCCTACGCTGCATCTCCCAGTCCCAGCTTCTTTCACAACTAACAGCTCTAGATTAAATCATTCTGGTAAGAACCTCTCTCGTGCCCTCAACCACACGGCTGTTGATGCTAATTCACATTACAGGGTTGGATGGGGATCTCTCTGTGTTGGCAAGTTACCTGCCAATGCCATGCTCCTAAAATGGGAACTGATACTAGACAGCTGGTGGCGGCGCATACTACTTTGCAAAGAAATCGATCAATGCCGACCGTCAAGCTAAATTCGAGGCTGGCCAGAAGAAGCGCGCTGAGCAAGAGGCTCTCGAGTACTCGGCGTCGAAAGCAGGATCGAATGGAGGACCAGCAAGAGCAGACCCCTCCGGCTCTCCCAGCTCAGAAGCAACGTCAGACCCCGCACCGACACGGCATGCGCCGGATACTGAGGCTCAGAGGGTTCGAGAGAAGAGCAAGTACGAGACGAGTGATCCATTCCGGGCTAGGAAGGGTGACCGGTTCAGTTGAGATGCTAAGTCGGAATGTTAGCATACAGTAGAATGGAGGCTGGCATTGGTGCGGACTTTATCAAGTTCTAGGACTGTGCCAAAGACTAAAGACCGGAGAATAAAGTCTCAGGGGCATCGTAGGTAGCAAAACACTCCTCTTTTGGCGTTCGGGTTGGGCAATTAAGGCGCCGTCTTTGTATACGATATGGGGACAATGCCTATGGGATCATGAGAGAAATGAAAGCCCTGAGCCCCAATCAAATGTTATTGGAAATCCTTTGCAATAATCCTTTATTTCTTGTAATTCACCGTGATATATGATATATGAGTTCTCAAAAAGTAGGGCTTGGATTCGTTCGGACGACAGGGCGTTTTGGCTGGTTTGTACTAGCGGCAAGGCTGAAATACTTATTTTGGACTTCCTTCACACCAGCTTCTTTTCCAAACCAGCCACACCCTCCAACCACTACTCCATGGCCGCCCAACACCACCTAATGAGACAAGAATCGCGATAGATAATACAATATGGCGTCGCATCAACTCGCCATCGCGAAGGCTTCATTCTCCGCTGGTCTTCTGCGACCAGACCCGACCTCCCTCGCGCGCGAAGACATTGCCCTATTCCACTCTCTGTTGAACACAGTCGTACTACAATGCTCGCCAATAAACGTCCAGGTTTGATCATACACTCTCACAGCTGGGTCAACGCGATGGCTAAATGGTCCCTGAGGATAGAAATGCAAGCAATGGATCTTGGACAACATCGCTCAATCTGCGGCAAGATTCACGGCACTGGGAAAATACCTGACATCTCTAACCGCCTCATATACTGAGCCCGGGGCATCCACGGATGCGAAAAAGCGCGAACCTTCGGTCAAGAGGAGACGTCTTCATGTGTTGTATTTGGTCAACGATATCCTCTTCCATTCCAAATACCGTATCAACGACGCATCGATTTGCGGCAAGATGCAACCCATCCTCGTGAGCTTATTCGGAAGCACGGCGTCATTCCAAGGATGTCCAAAGCACCAGCGCAAGATCGCAGAGCTACTCGAAATATGGGAGGAAAAGGGTTACTACTCCAAGGAATACATCGAGAAGCTTCGTGAAGCTGTCAAGAATGCCGCTGAGGTTGGAGAACATGCAGAAGGAAGCAATGGTGACAAGGAGCAAGGTATCACTACCAAAGGGTCGAAATTTACACCATATGTCATGCCAGCCATGCATGGCGATGTGTCGACTCCATGGTTCGACTTACCAGCTGGGAACCTACTTCCGCATATCGTACCTAACTCGACGCGCCCAATGAACCCGGATATGATCAAACCTCTGCAATTTGTGGCAGGTCCGGCAGAGGAAGGTTTGACTTTGGCAGTGAAGGCGCTGCTGGATGACGTGCAAGCTATGTTTGGAGGGGAGACCGACCTGGATGAAATACCGACCTTAGACTTTGACGACCTGGGACAACCAATCATTGTCGACGAGAACACCGGGGATGTTATCCGGGGTGAAGGATACTACGGGTGGTCTAGGACCTTCTGCGAGAAGATGAGGAGGAGAAAGATGGGACTAGATGTGCCAAGCCGGGACGAGGGTCGAGATGAACGAAGTCAGAGTCTGAGCTTAAGCCCGAATATACGGAAGAGGCGCTATAGTAGGTCTGACAGCGACTCTGATCGCGCTGACTACAGATCTACCCGACGAAGACGCTCATACAGCTCTTCCAGCTCACGTACACCAGATGGCAAGCGAAATGGTCAATCTCGATCGAGATCGGGGAGGAGATCAAGTCTTTCGCCCGAGCCAAAAATTAAAAGCGGACAAGAGGCCGTCCAAAGACCTCAGCCACCACCACCACCACCTCCTCCTCCACATGACGATGTTCCACCTCAGCGACCCATGCCGCCTATGCCTCAACCGCCTTACCAGCAAGGCTTTAATCCCAATTTCCCTCCTCCGCCTCCCCCTATCCACAATATGCCTTTCAACGGTCAACAACAGTACGGGCAATGGCCCCCACCCCCCCCTCCAATGCCTTTCAACTTCCCGCAGCAACCAGTGGGCTCTTGGCCAATTCCGCCCCCTCCCCCTGGTCCACCCCCAGGAAACCCACCCTTGAATTACCACCAACAAGGAAACTATCAACAGCCCAATTTCCAACAGGGTGGATATCAACAACAGCAACAACAGCAATACCTGCCCTCTGGTCCGGGCAGCGGCTGGCAACAGGGCAGCGGCAGGGGCTATAACAACAACAACAACAATAATAGATGGAACCCCAACCCACGTGGAGGACGAGGAGGACGCGGGTGGTAGGGACGTGTAGCTACAATGCCTCGAAAATCTCGTATGCAGCTCCTACACCCTCACAACTTCAGAATGCACTCGAGCGTGGGACTGGCAGGCCGAGCGGGTATGGATCTCTTCCAGAAGCGGAGAACCCTGTAAATAAACCAACACCTGCAATATACCAACAAGATGACGAAACCAATCTATGTTTTGCAGTTCCGTAGCGTCACTCCGCTCCTCTCTATACTACCCAGGCTATTTGAACCCGAATCCGACATTTGAGTTTTGTGGCGATGGTTGCTTGCCTTGCAGTCCATATCTATGCCTTCCTTCCTGTTTTTGTCCCTTCTTATTTCGTCGCGCACGTCACTCGCTGTCCTCTTCGCCACAATTCCTATCCCAGTAGCCGGAAGCCAAAAAAAAAGGTACGTAGACAGTCAGTAAATGGGGTGTATCGATCCAGGCATTGGCCAAGGAGCCAGTTGTTCTTGTTGCTGCTGTCTATGTTGTTTACCCGCACGATGAGATTGGAGAGGCGAGGGATCCCGCCCTCTTGAAAGATCGATTGTAGCTAGTAAGGAAGTGTAAGTCAGTGTGGGTGTGTGGCCCGGTGTCGCACTGCATACTACATGTAGAGGGGGGGGGGGGGGGGGG